AGGAGTGGTTGGGCAAGGTGGAGGATGCCATGGTAACGAATCTGCGGAGACAGATGAAGCAGACCATTGCCGACGTCTATACCATGTCGCGGGAGGATTGGCTCACAAGCCACACCAACCAAATCACTCTCACGGTGGAACAGCTAATGTGGGCACGCAGTATCACCGAGATTTTGGATGGAGACGGCGATCGTTTGGCGGGCATGCAAGACTACGAAAAGAAGTCTTACGAGGTGAGTTCTCCCCTCTGTCTTTCCTCCCGTACCTTTGCCTCATCTTGCAAAACTCTTGGTGTGTGCTGACCTCGTACTCTTTTTTCAATCCACAGGCACTAAATGGTCTTGCTAAAATGGTCCGAGGCAAACTGCCAAAACTAATCCGCATGCTGATGTGTTCACTGATCACCATTGACGTGCACGCCCGAGACATGGTCACTGAAATGGTTGCTAATAAGGTGGATTCTTCCAGTAATTTCGATTGGCAACGTCAGCTTCGGTACTACTGGGACACAGAAATTGACAACTGTGTTGTGCATATGTCCACTTCAAGGTATGTGTACGGGTATGAGTACCTGGGAGCTTCTCCTCGCCTCGTCATTACTCCGCTCACTGACAGGTGAGTCAACTGATGCGCAATATATGTGTCCTACTTACTATTTTACTCAGTAGCAGTCGTTATTAAAACGCCGTGCTGGTTGTTAATGCAGATGCTACCTCTGTCTGATGGGCGCTCTGCAGTTGGATCTGGGAGGAGCACCAGCCGGACCCGCAGGTACGGGGAAAACAGAGACAACCAAGGATTTGGCCAAAGGTCTAGCAAAGCAGTGTGTAGTCTTCAACTGCTCCGATGGGTTGGACTACAAAATGATGGGCAGGTTCTTCTCCGGTTTGGCTCAGTCCGGTGCCTGGTGTTGCTTCGATGAGTTCAATCGAATCGACATTGAAGTCCTGTCAGTCATTGCACAGCAGCTCATCACCATTCGGCTAGCAAAGGCCGCGAAGGTGGGTCTTCCTGTTTGGGTTTTTGTAGCCAGTTGCTTCTGGCAGAAGTCTCGGTTGCTAGTGTTTGTCTCTAGCGTCTAGGTGTGTGTGTGTGTGTGTGTGTGTGTCTGTGTGTGTCTGTGTGTGTCTGTGT